ACATACATACATACATACATACATACATACATACATACATACATACATACATACATACATACATACATACATACATACATACATACATATATATATATATATATTCTGTATATAAGTGAAAAAATATATGATGATGACAGTTTAATTTAATCTCATTATTCCTTTCATAGAAGGTTGCCCCAAAAGGGCATCCAATGTAAACTTTGCCACTAAATGGTTGCGTGCATTTTTAATGTTAAATAAATTTAAACAAGTACATAGCACTGTAAACTTCCATGCCAATGAACCCAACACATGTAGGATTAAGCTGTTACTGATGAAGGTGACGATGACGATAATGATGGGGAAAGGTAAAATATACTTGCATTAATGCAGGCCTAAATGCGAAATTTTAATACCAAATTGAGTGAGTGAATCTTGATGCTCCGCAATCCAAATCATTGATAATAAGAAAATATGATTTTTAAATTAAAAATGCATAAAATAGGTTCCGAAAATAAAATAGTGGTGAAGCTTGAGCTCTTTGCCATGTTCAAATTGGCATCCACAGTTAATTATCCATATACCGAATTCCATATTTTGGTAGTATCTATGAAAACGTCATGCAATTGTGAACATAATTTATTACTAAAATTACTCATATATACGGAGAAGCACATGATTTGAAAGCATTGCCAATCCGGTGAAGCACAGAACTTGACATGAAACATAGCAGATTTTCACTCTTTCCAGTTTCCCGAACCTTTTTGTAATAGATATACTGGTTTTTATATTGTAGTATAAAAATATTTTACGTTGATTCTTTACTCTCTATAAAATCATGAACACTAGATGAGTTCTTCTTACCGCCTTCTGAAGCCATGTCAAGAAAAGCTTGAAGCTTCAAAGCCCTTCTGTAGTACATCATCCCTCTAACTGGAGAACACCAGCATTTAGTTAAATGAAGAATCAGGAAATAGTTTATATGAAAATTTGTCATGGAAAAGAATAATCACCAACTAACCAGTTCTACAGAGAGTCTGTCCCCTTAAGGATGCCCAATGACGTAGTTGCAATATGTTCTCTTCATTCTCCCATATCTCAGACTCCTTTTTACATCCAAGACGCTCCATGAAGTTATTCCATTCATCTATAAGGCATATCACAATGTCACAGAAACAGCAGATATGAGACCATAGAGTTCTAGTAAACTACTAGAAGAGAAGACTATATAGATTCATAAAAATGACACCCGTATGCCATGAAAATGAAACCTGGATATATCTTTTGAAGGTAGTAAATGATGGATACACCATCTTCATTTTCCATCTCAAGATCACTCTTCGAGTAGACAGTTTCCTCACTGTAGTATGGAGTCATTACACTGCAAAGCAGATCCTATTATTAGAACTTTTAGCAGGATGTACAGTAGTCTGGCAGTAGGGTACTCTGATACTTCCTGTGTTCTTAAATAAATGCAACAATAAGAATTTTACGTTTGTCAATGCATAAAGTAAATCATTAATATCTTCAATCATGTTTTGGTAAAATTTATAAAAAGTTCATATTATTAGAGTTTATATCAAGATGAATCGAACAAGACCCCACATGCCTATGTTTTGAGTCACGTACAAAGCACAAACGATAATCAAATTGACTAAAGAAATAGTACCCTCATCCGTTGAAGTTATTTAAGAACGGTGGAAGTATTTTTTGCTCTGTTTTATGCGTATAGTAACTTCGATCTATTTTATACTGAATACAAACTCTATTTCATCTCCAGAATACAAGTTGCATACGCCACGGGAGAAACAAAATACAAAACAAGAAAGCTTGTGTTTTTTGCAGTGTTTGTGTGCCCTTGAATTCAGTGAAGGCTGTAACAACTTAATTATTGCTTTATTTTGAAAGCACATAATTCTTGATTTGCACTATACGTCCTGGTTCCTACGCAAAATAATTATTTCTTCCTTGTGAGATGGGGTGGGGAGCTAGTATTTTGTATTGCAGATATGAGAATATCATCTATCTCAACTCATCACATAATATTTATCGTGTAGAAATGTAATGGTAGTTGTAGATTTTCATCTCATTATTCCTTGTGAGAAGTTGTGACAGAAATGTATTATGTTTAACACATTGCCACGATGTTTGTTTGCATATTTTTAAGGTGTTAATTAATTTTATACAACTAATCGCCATTTCATATATATGTTGTGGACCACCCAACTAATTGGGATTAAGGTGCTGACAATGATGGTGATGATGATAAATGATGGGGGGAGGGTATATAATGTATAACTTCCACCTGAATGAAAGCATTTTGTGAACTCGGGGTGCACGTGGCATTTCCATGAATAATGAATTTGCAAAAAAGGAAATCCTTCGCCGAGCTTCAAGATTCGTTGGGACTTCAACAGCAGATTCTTTGACGGTCAGGAGGAGATAAAGACGTCGGATCTGTGATAAGGATAAAATTGATCTTTATTAGTTAGAGGTAAGCAAGTTTTTAACTATATTGAAAACCTATCAATCTACAATGTCACATTATCCGTGCTAGTATCAAAGAATAATTGAGATACCTGTTCTTCCCAGTGTGCTGTCATTTTAAGAGGGAACACTATTGCTGGTTTTGAATCAGTACTTGCAAAATACTGCTTTCCAGAATCCTTGCTAAGGTCTACTAGTTCACTGAAAAGAAAATAGCAAACCAACCAACCAATAATCATACACCTTATAGTCAAGAGAGATTAACATTTAAGGGTGATTTCAGAAAAGTGTTTCTTCTATGTTGCATAAAATTCACCAACCGGATTTCATTCACCATCATGTCACGGGTAACTATTTCCCACATATCCTGCAATGCTAGAACAACATTGTCTTTCTTGGATCTATCATCATCTCTCTGCAACATGAGAGCATTCACTTTCTTCCATATGAATATTGCATCAACAACATAAATTTTTTGTCAAATTTACTCACCAATAGCTCAACTAGCTCTACAAATTTCTTAAAAAGATCTGGTAGTGAACCCATCCGAAAATTTGCAAGGAACGTGTTCTTTGTAATGCTATTTTCAACTTCCTTGATGACGACTCCAATGATTCTATAACATAGATTAGAAACTGACTTAGCACAAAATGATATAAGATGTGCAATACCTAATAAGTAGATTAACAAGTTGAGGTAAAACTTCTAAGGGAAATGACTGTGAAGCAACCTTTTCTCAGTCTCACCCACAACCAGGGTGTTCAAAACAAGCTTGAACGATTCATAACATTCTATAACTGCACATTTCATGTATTCATCTGCACATATACGTTTCCAAAGGTCTGCATCTTTTGGCCGAAATTGAGCAGCCATGTCCAATGCTATTGGGATCTGCAAAGGCAAAATTTGGAAAAGAGAAAGATGTGCACCGTTGATAGGTGTAAGCAAAGACCATCGGTGCTGCAGTAGAATGCACTTACTTTGCTTGCCAGCAAAAAGGGCGGCCACTGAATTATTTTCAGACTAGGATCTGAGGAATAAGGAACCAGCAACAGGTCCATCTCTCTGAATTAATTAGACACTTAGTTCAGTTCGATGCAGGCACATGGTAGAAAAGTGGGGAATGTTATGAACAGAACGAATGATAAACAATAAAATTGAGTATAAAGACTTTTCCTATCACTTATAATATCTTCCTCCCGGAAACTGCATATTACTTCATTCCATAACTGTGAAAACTTGGCAGCTTCACTTCTCCTACTTGGCGAGACCTGAAAAGAAAAGGCAAACAGTTGTCACTTATTATTCTTATCGCACCATGATATTTGGTATGCTCCAACTTGGCCCAAAAGAGCCTTGCATATTTACATCTCTTGTAACTTGATATTTGCATCACTCTTCCAACTTCTTTGTCATTTTAGAGGCGTGCTTCCTAAAGAATACGGAGTATAAAATAATAAAAGAAGATGAGAGAACCTCGTGAAAACGTTTTGACAGAGAAAATCTCTTCTTCTTATTTTTGTCAGAAGGAACCAAATATGTGTTGAAGGCACCAGGGAGAGACTGGAACCTTGATCTTAGCATGCCAAGAGTTCGAATCTGCAAGGATATAGTAGGCATGGTTTCAGAAGAATATTTTTCAGTTTTCACACGATTACTGTGGTGTGTAAAGAATATACGGAGTATATTTTGTGGTCAGGTTTCAGCCATACTGAATTCAATATTGTGCTTCTAAACCATTTCAAATAACCAAACTCACAAGTACTTGCAACTTCTTTATTTATTTCTCTCTCTTCCTTTGTTTTTACATCTGAAAAACCTTGAGCTTAGGATAATAAAATACCTCGCCCAGGCGATCAAAAGCCCCAATTACACCACCACATAGGGTTGAAAAAATGGCATACCAAATTTGGCAATCCATAAAGTACACCTGTTGGCACATGGGTCATCGGCAGTCAATCTCAATTCTTTACACTATGAGAAGCAACTGATTAACACAACATAAACAAATTTAGAATGATGTAGGAAAAGAAGAAACAAAAAATAAGACAAACCAAAATCACTGGGGCCCAAAGGGCAACAACAGCTCCATAGTTTTTATTAGCTGCATTGGTAGAACATTTTTTAGTAAGAGAAAATTAAAGAGAAATAAATGGTTGAAAGAGATGAGTTCAAAGCAGGAACAAATTTGGACCAATACCATTTGGAAAGAACTCGTGCCAAGCATACTGAATATGATGAATGCTCATTATATCTTTCGTCGGCTTTACAAGAGGTTTTATCTGGTACAACAAACATACCATACTTAACAGAGACTAAGTATCCTGATCTAAGGACTAGAACCATAGAGATGTTGCTAATACCTGGACGAAATAGCTAAACGCAAATTTACAGCACAAAAGCAGCACCCAGAATAAAGTATACCTGCCAATGGAAAAATGATGAAGTAGATGCACAAGTGAAGCATAAAAGAATAAGGGACATAGAAAGTCATATAAACAAACTTTATCAGAGCAAATTGACTTTCATGCATTCCCCTTCCCACGTAGATTCTAGGCTGAAAAGGATGAAACAAGGAAAGTCAAATTAGCGGTTTAATACATGGCTAACAAGCAATAGATTTGTAATATGCATGGTAAAAAGAAAGATGAAAATTGAGAGCAGTGCATGATGCAGAGTTAGAGCAATACATATCAAAACCATTAAAACGGTTCTCAATCTAAAACTGAAATTTCAACACCAGGAAATGGGGAAAAATGTACAACTATAATGATGCTTATTTTGATTAATTAGATCTGTGTATTTGCATAAATTAATACAGACTAGTCTTTATTTGTTATACTTCTCCCTGTATCATGTAGATACAATTTAAACCTGATCAGATTATCAGAAGCTACGAACTATAAGCTTGTCCCCAAGCAGGAATAAAATTATATTACATGTGTACCCTATACTGTTTTCACTAAAAATTCAATGTGTGACAAGTTCTACATATGTTTATATGGATACAGATGGTTCAAGACAAGTCCTAAAAGCACATAATGTGCTTAGTATCTGCAGAAATCAGCTCACAATAAAAAAAATCATACCTGTGACCACCATAGAAGAAATCTTACAACGAGCCAATCTGAACTCTCAATCCAACGGCGGAGCATGGGGAACATAAACAAAGCTGCTGCAAGTACATTTGGTAGCAGGTATATAGCAACAGCCATGATATACAAAGGTGGAATCCCCTTGAATCTATTTAGAAATGCAAAAACATCCTTAATCGGGCCAAGCTTGAAAGAGTTGTTCTGATGAGCATAGCACAACGGAAGGATGATAGACCAAGCCAAGCTAACAATTATCTTCAAAGTATTCCTCAGAACATCTGTAAATTTCCATCTATGATAGCCCGGAGAGTTCAGAGTAAGGTCCAGCACACCTAGGTTTATATATATTAAGAAAATGATAATTACTTTTCAAACAACCACAACTCAAGACTCAAGATTCAACATATTACAATTGACCACCGCTAATCAAATTTGATAGGACTAGAATTCCAAAACTAAGAATAGTTTCATAATAGGATCTCAGGTACTATTGATTTATTGTATGCCAAAATGCTCCCCTTGGCAGTTGGCATTAGATATCAACTAAGACAGATCAGAGGGCTATGATACCCAAAACACGATCCCTAAAATGTACGGAGTACAAATCATAAAATTCCTACAAATAGAATTATAGGCAAATACAATATGAAAACATATTTATCATAACTTTATTTGTTTCTTCTCCTCTCTTTTATGTGAAGTGACAAACATTAATACGAGACCTAGGGAGAAAAAGAGCTAGTGTCTAGACATATAAAAAATTAAATACGACATGCCAATTATGCAGTAAACTTTATTGTGCTTAAGTGTCACTATCGATCAAATGTCATTACTGCAGCAGCCATAAAGTAGGAAATACTTTGAAGGAACCGAAGAAAGGCTGCCGTGATGAAAATGCTTGACAGACTGTATAGCACATCCTTCCGAAATATATCCAACACAGAAATATCACTCCATGCAATTATAACCAAGGCCTGCAATAGCTCAGTCAGACAGTTGCTTACAAGAATAAGTATCTATGATCTGATAATAGCAGCAAAAGACCAGTCAATTCAGTAATTACTTGTAACGCAAGAATGAAGAATGTCCAGAGGCGGTCAAAACTTCTAAATGTATGCCAAAACGATCGGGTCTCAGCAAAATACGATTTACCCATCCCTGCAGGCATTTTGTTGGAAATTCCTTTGCCCTGGAATTCAAGCCATACAAAGCAATAAGGAATATTATCATCCATATGAAGTGACATGCAAGTAAATACTGCAAGCGTACTTTAGAAGTGCTCCTTGTTGATTTGAAGAATTCACCATCATCACGCATTGGCCAACCCAAAGAAAAGCAGTCTGACGACCTGGGAACAATCAACCAAATTATTATAGGCCTAAATATATTTTTAGTCATACAAAGAAATATAGAATAATATCATCAGTTTTTTTTAAATGGAGGATGCCAAAGAGTCAGATAGAGAGTAAAAAGAAATAGCTAAAAACTGTAGAAATGGGAAACAAAAAAGTTTGCAGAGACGTAAAACAAAGGAAAAAATACTGGATTTGCATGTACGAAAACATATACAAGCTATTATAATATGTAAAAGCAGATAAAATGGTTCAATCGTAAGAAATAAATACACTGTTTGCCTTGACGTCTTATATACCAGAAATACTCATTCAAGTCGTCATAGTTGCACCAAGAGGTGTGTGGCGCTTTTCCATTTTTGCTTTTCTTAGCTTCCTGGAGTAATATAATCACGATTTCACTATCTTTGACAAGATAAGCCCAACATCAAAAGATTGTATAGATAATACCTTGTCAATCACATGATATATGGGAGTAATGACTTTCCGCAAAAAAGATTCATCGTCCCCACCATATGAAGGCTTGATGTTTTCACCAGTGACAATGCTAACATTTCCAGCCAAAAGACCATGAAGTTCATATGCCATCTAAGCAAATATTTGGAAAATGATATGACGGGTATTAATTGATAATGAATTTGTACATGTGTATATAATTATATGTAAATTTGAGAATGGTAAATGTGCCAGTGCAATTGAAAGATCATTAAGCTTACATTGTGGAAAATATAGCATAGACACTCCGGCATGAAGCGAACATTAGCTGCCTCGCCCCAGATTAGAAGATAAAGGCCCATGTAAAGTATTTTTCTTTGTTGCACTTCTAGATCTCCTTGAGGGAGCCTAAAATCATCAAGAAGCATATTTATGTAAATTTATTCACACCACATATTTTCGTGTGCGCACACACATGTACTGACACCATAAATACATATGCACATCTGTGTACTTGTTTACTACCAGTATAATAAAGGATAGGTAAAAAGAGAGGTATGTGAAAAAAATTTATTGGAAGAAGAATGGTTGAAAGTCCTAATACCTCACCTTAAACTGTGTTTCCTCCCCAAATATTTGCACCAACTTTTGTAATTTTTGAAAAGCTTGTTCACAAGTGCGTCAACAACTCGGTCATCAAGCTGAGTGAAAACCACATATTTTCAGTACACTTTATAGCTCTACTCTGGAGATCTCCAGAAAATGTTACAATCTCAAGACACATAAGAGAAAATTATATGCATGTAACTGTATATAAATACTCCGCAAATGATAGTTATCTACTAAATGACCAAATTTTAACTCTAGGTAAAAGAGAAAGTATAATTCCAAATCTAAAAATAGTCTCAACAACAAAATACATATATTGAATGGAAACACCATCTGTAATCACTAATCAGCAGTCAGTTGTTAGATCCAGAGCACAAACAACATCACAGCTTTGAGTTATAAGTTTTCATGCCTTATTATGCGGTTCTGGTCTTGGAACCAGCCTCGAATGGATATTGGCAAGCAGTAGAGTTAGATGTTCCCGCTGGTTTCTAACATTGTCCCTCTGTAGATATCAAAGAGGCCAATGTAACTTTCACTTTCGTGAAGGAACTCAGACTAAATGATCAGTATCCATTTTTGAATTAATAATTCATACCTGAAAACCAAACATGGCCCTTAGCCAATCTAAGAGGTCGAGCTCCCCAGCTCTCTGTCTTTGTGGTTCAAATGAGGATGGCCAACTCAATCCATGTGTGTTTGAAAGGGCTGCCACAGCAGCTTTAACCTGGAGAAAGTATTGAAATATTATTATCATTTGAATTAACTTGTTTCCATACAATATCTGCCCCATATTTGTGAATGCATATTTTCACCTCTCCAAGCTGCATGCTGGACTGTGACGCTCCAGCTGAATCCAGGGGGATGATGTTATAGGGGGCATATATTTCCTTCTTGGCCTGGACATCATTTGCTGCAGCAATAATCTGTTTGCAAAATTCATAGTTTTTTTAACATCTCCGCATATACTTCTTAAACAAGAGCATGAAAGAGTTGATCCATTGGCTGCAAACAGATGCAGTTTCTAAAAAATAAATCTTGATCCCATATAGTGCTATTACAACTAACCTCAGGAGCGATTTCTTCAACTTTTTCAGTCTTGAGGACAGCACAGAGGACCTCAAATAGCACACCAGCAGTTTGGTATGCCTTGCCAAGCTGAGCTCTGTTGGTAAAGTATTTAAACAATTAATGGCAAGTACACTTCCTGAGAAGGATTATATCAGTAAAAAATAGTTTTGGGAGTGCCTGCTTACCTATCTGCTTGTTCACCCTCGTTAAGTGCCTGAACGTATTGCTCATAGTATTGTTTATAGAAGCTCTCTATTTCTCGAGCATCTGTCTTTTTCACCCGTGAAGCAAGACTTGATGCATTGTCCTGAAAAGATTGTCATAATCAAACCTTTATGGCATGTGATAGAATCAAACTCGTATTGTTCAGTTGGCGGACTAATGCAGAATGGCAATGCATCTTTGTAAATGCACTCTAATAGTTTAAGACAACGCGTAATCCTATTCTTCCTCCGAGACATTCAACTTTCCCCTATCCCCTCTAATTATGTTTACCTTTTCTCTTAATCTTTTTACATCTAAGTCCGTATTTTTTCACTCAAAATATTTATTGAGAGAAACCCAAATCCATGTTTAAACTGAAATCTTTACTCGGTAATTACCCTAATTTTGAATTGTGATCTTAAGGATGAACTCCATCCACAAATCAGTTTTCTTTTTAATTTGTTTGGCAAAGAGAGAATTAATAAGAATCCAACTTTACCTCATAAATAATAATTTAAACTTTAGTTTTAGTTTTAAAATACTTCATCCAATCATCCCTATCATAATAAGATTCCATAATTGATTGAGTACAATTATTAATAAAAATAAAAATGAGTAATTAAAATTTGTACACATATTAAGAAATCACTTGAATCACATATGTTATCACATAGGACAAAGATATGATCATATTTTACCAAAGTGAGACAACAAAGTGAATAATATTTTTTTGGACAATTCCTTCCTCAAAAGTACAAATAAAAAGAGATGTAAAAAAATACAATGAGATTATTTTAATTAGCAATTTCAATATATTATTTAACAACAACATTTAGTTGTAATATTTTCAAAATTAATCTACAACGTTATGATTTTATAAAAAAACACTTGCGTTAATTGAAAATTTTATTCCTAACAAGACCTTAAAACATTCATTTAAATTGTTCCTATAACATCTGTTTAAAATGACAATTCTATAAAGTGGGGTCAAATAGAAGTCTAAAGTTAGGTTATTACTTCTATGTTGTTTTTCTCTATCCAAGAGTGAAAAAGTTAGACAATAAAGTAAATAATATTTTTTGGACAAGTCCTTCCTCAAAAGTACAATTAAAAAGAGAAGTTAAAAAAATACAAAGAGTAGTTTTTAGGGTACAATTGAAATTGTTTAAATGTTTACTGTTAGCAATTTATACATATTATTTAACAACAGCAACACTGACGTTAATTAAAAATTTTATTTCAAACAAGACCTTGAAAAATTCACTTAAATTATTCCTATAACACGTGTTCAAAATGACAATTCTGTAAAATGGGGTCATATAGAAGTCCAAAGTTATTATTTCTATGTTGTTCTTCTCTATCCCAGATAGATATTTCCACAAATTGCAAAACTAAATGTATTTATTTTTAACTTCGTTTGATGATTAAAGTCCCCAAATTTAGTTTTAAAAAAATTAAACAAGACCAATAATTTTGAAATGAGGAATATATACATTCAAAATATATTTTGTTCACTAATTTATTTTGAGCATTTGTAATTGTTATTCAATAAAATAATGAAATTATCTCTTGCCTTTTTGTGTTTTTGGTTAAATATCTAAATACATTTTTTGTCGCGTGTAATTTTCTTATTCTGACTTTCATGAAACTTTAAAAATGTAATAAAATTTAAAAGTTACAATTTGTTGAAATTAATAAAAATGAAAAAGAAATATTATTAACCACATTGGACTAGACATTTATATTTTTTAAGATAGGCGAAGAAAAATGAAACATTTTTTTGAGATACACGGAAATTTATATATATATATATATATATATATATATATAGACACACACACTCAGTATAATTTTTATTTTAATATTTAAATGAATTAATGTCTATTTAGAGATTGGACGCAAAGAGTATGACAAAATTGATGATAGAAATGCTAAAAAATGAAGATGAAAGAAAAGAGTGGCATACACGCTCCAATCGTTGAAGGAGACCTGTTTTGAATTGGCGCACACCACGGCCACTCGAGCTTGGGTCCAATCTGTGCGCCTTCTCGAAAGCGTAGAACCGACCTGGATATATGAACGTCGTAACAAAATGACAATCAACAAGCATTTTTAAAGGGTTAGGGCTCCAAATCAATAGGAATTTCGAAAGAAGCTAGTCCTAATTTTAATTGATTAAGGTGGTATGGTCGTCCTTACACAGATAAGCAACACGAGGGCGTTCCGCCTGGATCTCTGTAGCAACGCTGAGAATAGGAGAAATTGATGACTGAAGGGACGAGGGGACGACTTCGGTGTCGAACACCTCCGTGGAGAAGGTGGTCATGGCGGCACTGCGAGATGGCCGCCTCGTCAACGACGACGGTAGCCCCGACCCCGACGCCTCCTGACTCCTTGGCGACGTCATTCTTATCCCTCCTTCGCTTTGATTTTCTTCCTTTACAAGCGTATCCTATCTATACCACCAGCCTCAAGCCCTCAACCAACCAATAGCTCGATCATCTCCTCCTCCCCATCTTCCAATCTGAAATAACGCCGCCAATCCCCACAGAGCAAAAGTTTATATGTGAACATATATACACACATAGATATCACAATAAGCCACGCACACAGTTTATCTACGGAGGCATTCTCATTACTTTGCATATATATTTCCACCTAGTCGTCACCTAAACATTTATATAGACACTCGATTGCCGGCGGCATATCAGAAATGTCGATCGGAAATTAACCTGTTCGTATATTTTGATCGGAAATTAATAAAACCTTTCAATTCGTGCATTTTGATCGGAAATTTTTCCCAGGCATATATACCACATATACATTTCAATACCGAAGAAGTTTGAAAAGCGGACCTGAAAACATAGGGCTCGCCGGAGATTACCACCGCCGGATCTGATGAAATCCTACTGAACCGTCGTAAGAATGAAGTGTACGTAGAGAGCTAGGAAGAGAGACGAATGCGGAAACCTGTGGATTTGATTGGAGCCAAATTAAAGAGAAGGGCCGCCGCATGCTAAGGGAATTGCGTTGGAGTTCGGACAAGCTGCGAACTGAGGGAGGAGATTAAAAGGAGAGGGAAGATTTTAAGCGGAGGATGAAAAGGGAATAAGGGGCCGGAAATGAGAGAGAGAGAAAATTAAATGATCATTGGCGAATGGTGATGGTAGACACGTGGATGGCTGGGAGTGTTTTGTGCTGAAACAGTTAGGGGTGATTTCTTCATAATTCTTGTTTCCGTTGGTGTTTATTTTTTATTTTAACGGCATAATCTGTCAATCACTTCTATTGAGAAAAAAAAAGATGACACCCCCCAGGTCTAGCTTGCACATAAATGAATCTTTGATTCTAAGGCCCCGTTTGGTACACGGAATTCAAACTATGGAATTGGAATTGAGGGCTTCAATTCCAATTCTGGTGCTTGGTAGTACAAAAATTATGTGGATTTGGAATTGATAGTGCAAAAAATGAATTGGAGTTGACATAATTCAATTCTATGGAATTGAATCCTATGGAATTTTAATTCCAATTCAATTCCAATTCCATCAATTCCGTATACCAAACGTACCCTTAGGGTCCATTTGGTATACGGAATTGATGGAATTGGAATTAAAATTCCATAGGATTCAATTCCATAGAATTGAATTATGTCAACTCCAATTCATTTTTTGCACTATCAATTCCAAATCCACATAATTTTTGTACTACCAAGCACCAGAATTGGAATTGAAGCCCTCAATTCCAATTCCATAGTTTGAATTCCGTATACCAAACGGGGCCTAAGTAAACAATAAAGAATACTCCGTATGATTTATCTTTAGTCCTGGTAAAGCTATGTTTATGCACATGCTACACTTACACCACAAATTGTACCCCATTTGTACACCGCAGGTATACACAAACATTTTGATGGTTTACACCGACACAAGTGTTGGTGCGTTAACAAAAATTTACACGGACACAAAGTGTTTGTGCATTAACAAAAATTAGTTTTACACCTACAGAAAGTGTTGGTGCAAACCTGCGGGGTACAAAGTGGGGTACAAAAACATGGGGTACAAGTAGCTTTATCCTTATGCATAACATAAAACACTCACATTTGTCTTTGCTAAGAGTCAAATCCGACAATTACCCCTCTTTCGTACCCCCTATTGATCACTTATAAAACACTCTTGCGCATCACTTGCTATTAAGCATGTGATTCGAAAGCGAGTGCAAAGTATAACATTAAATGAATCAGCACAGATATCGATCGGAGTGTTAACACTCATGAAATTCCTACTAATTCTCTGATGTATCTCAATTGATCTACTCTCTCCGTTCCTTAAAACTTTTCTTCTTTTATTTTTTTCGTTTTCCTTAAAACACTTCCTTTTTCATTTTTTTCCTAAACTACCCCTAAACCTAATTTTACCCAATCACCTCTCCCACCTTATCCATCCCATCGTGACAACCCCAGCTCCTCATCTCGAAAGATCTGCCCTTGGTTCCCTGGCAATTCTTCTCCTCTCCTCACCTTTCTCTTTTTAGAATCAGATCAGCATCATGGCTGCATCCTCTTCTCCAAATCCGAGCATGCCCTCATTTCGCTTGCTCTCCGATAGAGATGAGGACCAACCTAACCCTCATCGTACTCAGAAATCTTTGGGCAAGCGCAAACGATCCACAGCTGCCTTGAAACGTCATGTTGATCCGCTTCCATCAAGTTCATCTGACATTGATCCTTTATGGAATTTCCAGAAAAAATACCTAGGGGTGAGCATCTGCCGGATGGACTTGAGTGGGGATCAGATCTGGAAGATGATTCATCAGATCTTCAGTCTTCATTCAACACTTATGAGATTCGAGAGAGCTCGGAAACAGAGATGTTGTTGTCCGAGCCAGTAAGAAGTCCTTCTAAAATTGAAAGATATAAACAGAGTAATGTCCTTCAATGCTCTCTCCTTTACACCTTGTGCATATGTGTTGCATGTTGATTTTATGTGCGGTATTTGGGCAAACTTATTATGCAAAAAAATATCTTAAAAGTCTATGAAAGTTGCCTAATTGTAACGTCGTCCCATATTAATTTGGTTTGGAGGCTTACAAAGCTCAATTACGGTTAGAAGTTTGGTTAGGCATTTGTGAATGTGTTTGTGGAATTTCTTCTATGTTGCAGTGAATTCTCTGAAGATTATGCTTCCCTCTTTTGTTATGGTTGTCGTGTGAAATGTAAAGCTTTTGGTGGATAGAATTTTTCCACTATTGATGACAACCTAATCATTATTATACTCCTTAATTGTTATCTTCCTTTGCTATCAACCCCACATGAGATAGGTGTAAATTGGGAAAGTCTTTTCCAGAAATTGGGTTTCTTATTTTGGCATTAAGTCATGATGGATGTGAGATGTGTGGTATATATCCTGTGTGAACCTCTGATGCTTTAGTGTCCCTAAAGTTTGAGGTCCCTTCTTTAATTTCTATGATGGATTTTAAATGTGTGGTTTCCTATTTGACTCTCTAAGGCAGTTTTTCCCTAAGGTTTGAGGTCCCTTTCTTTACTGCCTATGATGGATTTTAAATGTGTGGTACCCTATGTGTTCTCTAAGGCAGTTTGTACCTAAGGTTTGAGGTCTCTTCTTTACTTTGAGATCATGGATTTTAAATGTGTGGTATCCTATGTGACTCTCTAAGGCAGTTTTTCCCTAAGGTTTGAGGTCCTTTCTTTACTGCCTATGATGGATTTTAATTGTGTGGTACCTCTTAGACAAATGTACAACTCTAGAGGGGGGGTGAATAGAGTTGTTTTCAAGATTGTGCGTTTTTCGCGTAAAAAAAAATATCGCAGGAATAAGTAAAGAGAGTAAGGGAAAGAAGAACACCGGGATTTATACTGGTTCACCACCTCGTGGCTAGTCCAGTCCTCCGAGAGACTCTCTCGAAAGTCCTACTAATCTTCAAGCTTCAACGGGTGCTTGAAAAACCGGTACAACTTGAGAACTTGAATCACACAAGCCTCACTTTCTTACAACAACAAGACTTGAGTCACACAAGTCTTATGAACAACACTCAAATGAGATTGAGTTTACAACACAAGAATGAAAGCTCACACAATTGAACAAAGTAGTGTTTGAAGGATTAAAGCTCTATGGATGACAACTTCTTTAGCACTCAAAGAAAATATTTCTAACTCTCAAAAATAATGTTTTGATGAGGAAGATGAAGCAAGGAATGACAAAGGCTCAATGAATATTTGGAGTGCAAGAGTGAAGTATTGGAGAAGAAGGAGAATGAGGGTTTAAATAGGCTGACTGAAAATAAATCTGTTGGAGCAGGTTGAGAATATGCACCAGATAAAATTAATCGATTAAGGTAGAAGGTTAAATCGATTACGGTACACA